GAGAATGATAAAAACGAAAAATTACTCATTCAATTGAATTCGCTTTCGATTGGTGCAATAGACATTAAGTGTCAGTCCACGGCTGAATCGAGCATTTTGGTAATCGGCTGTCATAGAAAAAATTTTGACCTATCTTTTTTAAGATCGCAAATGAAAGAGCGTGTAAAGAAACCTCTGAATCCAAAAGTTTAGCCCTGTCTGACTGACGTTTGAATAGATATGAGAGAAACATTGAAAGTAATTCGATGACACTCTAAGCATAATCATCATGTTTTTCATGTCTTTTTTCGTGTTTTTTATAGAAAACGTTTTGTAAAAGGTATGGGCCGACAAAAAACTCTGATGGCTTCGATAGAGTAAAAAAACTGCACAAGATACATCTAAACAAGTAGTATTAAAGTTAGCGCATAGTGCTCTAATTTAGGTCGGAAGATAAAAAAAAGTACTATGCTTCTATGACATTTCTCTGTTATTTTCGAAACATCTCAATTGAACGGTAATACAAATATGATTGTTTTCCATTATGAAGGCTAAGCAATATAGAAAATCTTGCATCGACTTGAGATACTAGTTGAGAGGTGTTGTATACTTCATAAATCAAGGATGTAGAAAATGCAAAGAAAGATGCGAGATATGTGTTTCTTTAAGAAAATAGTGAATCTCTTCAAGAAAGCGCACATCTGTCGTACTTTGATCTTCTAATAATTTAAAAAATTTTTTTTAGTCAAGGATCCTACTGAAAGATACTCTACATCTGCCAGATCTCTTCTACATATTCCCTCGACCGAAAAGAGGGTCTTACGAAAGAAAATGCGTTTGTATATATGTTTGTTTCGTTCACTTGACGGATGTTGCAAAAAATTCCTGGACAAAAGTCAGCGGGTGTGAGTATGAGTGTGACTCTAAGTATGGGTGGGTGTGGATGTGGGTGGAGGTGGGTTAAGAGAAGATTCTCAGTAACACTCACCCATCGTCATACATCCACACCCACCTACACCCATACTCACATCCATTAAGCATGCGTTCACTTAATTTGAACATTCACTGTTTAAAAAAAAGCGTGCATGAACTTTCCGATATTTTTCTCTCATGAATTGCCGAATACTTTTCTCCCATAACCTTTCATTGCATTGAACAAGTGTTTTCTCTTCATTTGCTTTATGAATTAAGTACAATTCGAATAATGTTCGTTCGTGGCGACATTCTTTCCTTTTTTCTCTTTCATAGATATAAAAGGTTGAGCATGTATGAAAGAATGCAGGGTAGGCCAAAAGTCACTATACCGAAGAAAAAAACGAATATCTCCATTACAGCTCGATCAAATGAGCTGATCTTTTATCAATGATAGAGGAATGTTCAAGCTATATATCCATAAAGGCATACCTAGAGAGACCTTTTGTTATGTATCACAATTGACCTCAATAAAAAGATTTTTGCTTTTTCAGATAGGAAAAAAAAACAATATATAGGGTGTCCAGTAAGTCATGAAATAGACGCACTAAAAATTGAATATCTCCATTATAGCTCGACCAAATGGGCTTATTTTTTTACCAAGGATAGAGGTATGTTCACACTCCAAATTCATACGGACAAGGTCAGTGAGAACCTTTGTTAAATATCACTATTGACCTCAACAAGAAAATTTTACTTGTTCACAGATAGGAAAAGAAAAGAATATGTTCACCATAGTTTCTCACTAATCTCGCTCATCCAAATTTGGAGTGTAAATATGCCTTTATCTTTAGTAAAATAATCAACTCGTTTGCTCGAGTCGTAATGGAGATATTGATAAAAATCTTTTTCTTTAGACCGATATTCGTCTTACTAAAAGAAAATCTTCTTAGTCGTGATTATAATACATTAGCCAGTCTTTGTGATGATTCTTTACGTCGTTATGAAAATAATGAAGATGAAAATAATTTAATCTATCATCTATTTTCTCGTAATCACGTTACGCGAATAGCTGAATTAATTATAAAATCCATTCTTTTTTCAATGAAGTATGGTTCAAATAAGGGTGATAAACGTTTTTCACATTTAATACAAATCGTTGAATTTTATCTTCAAACATTAGATTCAATTACTAATCATTTACAAGAAATTCCATGTTGGATGCATTTTGATTGTTTATATCAAATAACGGCACATTCAGATAAACCAATAAGTCTAAAATTATATCCTCTTATTGAACAAATTGTTAAAAATTATTCTCAATCAATTGTTTATCTATTTAAATTAAGTTATGAAACATTACAATATCCTCTTACTGATCCAGTATTAAAACGTAATTTAGAAAGTGGATGTGGGTGAAGCTGAGGCTGACAATCACATTCCATACCCATAGCCATCTACACCCACACCCACACCTTCTCTATCTTGTTTTTATCAAAAGTTATTGAAAATATTCCCACCCGCCTTTTTCTTGGACACGAGTATTAATAACACATACAAGCACACTATTTCTTATTTCAGTCTCAGCTGAAGTATATAAATGTATAAATGATTTTGCAGAGCTTGAATTAATCATATTTATTTATAAGCAATCAACCAAAAGATCAAAACAAATACACGTCTATTTTATCGTATTAATGCTATTTTAAAGTATACTTGGAAAAAAATTCGTATGATTTGTTCTTTGCTACATTAGTAGTGCACGACGTTCCGGTATGAATGTGGGTACTGCTGTCCGTGTTGCTGAGTGTCAGTGTGGATGGATGTGAATGTGCCTCAAGATAAGCCAAATAGTAAGATTCACATCCACAACCGACACTTTTTGATGATTGAAGATCCGTAGTTCTATGCAATATTTTCCTCACCTTTGTTGTATTAGAAAAGTCGATAAGGACAGCTATGAGGATGTAGGTATGGATGTGTCTTCTGTTGTCCATGCCCACACACAGGTGCGCATCCCATGCTCAACTCAGCCGACACCAACACCTGGCTTCACACATACAGATGTCGATTAAAATAATCGATAACGATAAAATCACATAAAACACAACGAACGAATGATTCATTTGTAGTTATAAATCATAGTCATCGCCACAATGTTTGTAATTTAGTCATCCACTTGAAATAGTTTCTCTAGAATATTTTTTATAAATTTTCAATAAATGAGACATACCGATCGTTACCCATATAAATCCGAAAGACATGTGAATCATTGGTTAGCTACTTGCTGGAATGTTGCTTTCATGTAAATAATGCATTTACATAATCAATACTGATTCACTTATACAGTTGTTCGTGTGTGCGATCGTTTAAGTGCTCCATTATACGTCCATTATTTGCCTCTGCCGGCACCATTTTTTTCGTTCTTCTTCGTGAATGTATGTACACACACACAAGCTTATTTCATTTCCATGACATTGGTTGAAATTTGGAATGAAAACCAAAATCGAAATCATTAGAAAAAATATCTGAGCACTTTCATGTTGCCACGCATTTCAGCAAGTTTCAAACGAAGAAAGTATTCATGTCAGTCAATTTAATCATTTTAAAAATCTTTACACAGAGAAAATATCCGAGAATATCGAATGATAGATGAAATAATTTGATTCTGCATCGAAATGTTTTATAAGCTGTCACAAACTGAACCACAGTAAACGAAATGACGATAACAGAACAAGTATAGTTGCTTGTATTTGTTTAAAGAGGCAATATTACGAGAATATAAATGACTATCGAAGTTGTGTATTGAACTATAATTTGGTCAGGTAAAACCTTGGTGAAGTTTATCTGATAAAGAAATCTCGATGAAATGCCGATAAAAGAGTCAAAAAAATCAATCTTGACATGTCGACTTCAGCTTTAGTGACAAATTACGGTCATCAATAGAAAATTGCTCGGTAAATTACAGTTTGCTTTTTTGTATCTCTTCTGAGATATTCACATAATAACATTCACTTGGGCAGCAACATCTTTGGAAAAACATTAAGTATTGAGTGAAAAGTTCCTGAGTCAATTTATATTGATAGTTGCAGTCTGTGTCTAAACTTTCCATTCGAAATATCGAATCTGATGTCTTCTACTTTCCTCGAGTATAGGCAAGATAATGTTGTTCAGCAAAACTTGTGATATCGAAACTTCCGAACAGTTAGAACTTTTTCTACACATTTATATGTCAATAGCTATTCAATATGACTGAAATCGCCAACAAATAGACTAACTCTTTTATCGAAAATGAGTTTCGATATTGAAGTTAAGTTCGAAGTTCATTGTTTACTACATTTTCTCAATCATTACTTCAATCTCAACGTGTTCACCTATTTATTCAAGTGTTCACCAATAGCATTGAGTTTGAATCTTTTTTTTTTACTCACACACCTTCATTCATGCGCACACCCGCACTCACCCTTCACATTTACCTTTCACATACTTATTCCTATTCAATATTTTTCTTTTCTAACTTTTCCAACAATCCGAAAACAACATTGCAAACTTAAACCTATCACTTTACAAGATCATGCGTCTGAAAAACACATTGACATAAACTCTATCGAATTTCAAAATCTACTGGAATATAAACATACACTCAAATTGATTCTGATTCATTTCGACTATTTTCTGGAATAAGTGGATGAATCATGATGCAAGAAAAAGGAATATGAATCATATAAAGAGTAGGAGTAAATCAAAACGATAGCATGAAAGAACACGCTGTTCTCTCTCTTTGTCTATATAAACTAGAGGCTCGAGATAAAATATTGAACAAATCAGACAGAACTTCATTTACTTCATATACTAATCTATCAAGAGGAATAACATGTCGAAAGGTGTGTTAGAAGTAGTCATTCTCGAAGGACGCAGTCTTAAGAATTGTGATTTTTTTGGTGAAAATGATGCATATGTTGAAATTTATATGAATAAAAAATATAAACAACGTACAATAATAATTAAAAATACAAATAATCCAGTATGGAATGAACGATTTACATTCAATGTTCACAAGGGTGAGAATACAATTCATTTTGATGTCTATGATGATGATCTTATTGGTAGAGACACAATTGGTAAATGTAAAGTTAATTTAAAACATGTATTCAACGATGGGGACTTCGATGAATGGATCAAATTACCTGCTCACTTCGGACTGTCATCTCGTGGTGAAATTCATGTCCAAATGAATTAT